GCGAACATATCAGTACTATAAAGGAAAGAGCCAAAATTCTTGCAGAAATACATGTAGCGTTTCTTATAAGAATTAGATAAGAATCTTATAAGCAAGGTAAGAACAACGTAAGAAAGCGGACAAATTCTTATCCAATTCTTATGAACTTCTTACATGATTCTCATAAGACTCTTACCTGATTCTTGACATTCGTGCCACTCCTTATATAAGATTCTGATCAGAATCTTACAAAACTCTTATCTGAATTTCAAAAAAATGTTTGACTAGGGTTATCTCTACAGCACCGAACTTCGATATATACCGATGCCCAGAAAAGCGACTTTTTTCGATTTGGACAAGAAATTGAAGCCGTTACTACTTAAATTCTTGAAGAAAATTTAAACTTGAAACAATCATTTCTTGTTACCGACAATATTACATCATTATATACGTTACTAATATTTCACAAGATGAAGGAATTCTCAAAATTTATTAAAGATTTTGGTTTTCTATCACATATATAAATATCAACGAAACAATTGAAATTTTAACTTCAACCGTTCTCAAAAATAACTTTTTTATTTTCAAAGGGTATTAGTTCAAACAGACGAATGGTACTGCTATGGGAGCGTCTTTTGGCCCTCCCGATGCAAGTATAAGCGTTCTCCGTAAAGAAATATTAATATAACATATTATCAACAATATTCCATTACGTCTGCTATTGGTATTACTAGTATATGTTCACTTCTAAACGATACGAATTTCTGAATTTATAGATTCGCTTAACAAATCGTGAACATTCCCCAACAAGCGCATTAAAATGTATTTTAAAATCAAAATTTTATAATCGTCAAGAATTAATCTGATAAATAAATTGTTCACAGAATACGATTATACTTTTTCGGATGAAAGCTCTTCTCTGTTGTTATTGCTATCATTCATTTCTGTGGATATTACATTCTCACTATTGTTTTGATCAACTGCTGATCTAGACTTTTCATTGTCTAAATAAAAAATGTAAATAAAAGAATAGCAACGATAACAGATCTCAAAAACTTATTGACATCTTACCTGATGATGTTAATGTTTGAAGAAAATTTTCTTTTTGCGATACCTAAAGAATAGAACAGATAAATAGACCGTAGATTTTCAAGTAATTATATTTTATTTGCCTGATTTAATTCTATTGTCAGTTTCTTGTTGTTATTTTCAACTTTTGTTGGAGTAGCTGGCTTTCTCGATTGGGTTTGTGTTTCAAAAAGACAACTTAAACAGATAAGACTAAAAATATCAAAATATTAGATATTTATTCTCCTTATACTTTCCACATGGTCTCGATCCTTTCACGGATTTAACTCCAAACTGTCCCGACTTGCCACCTATTCTTGTTCCATGTCGATGTTTATATTCACAACATGTCGATATTCGACTATCAATTAAACCTTTCACATACAAAGTTAATCCAAATGGATATCCCGGATGACGATGAGATTTGAATGTGAATGTATCTATAAAGTAAAAATAATCTAGTAGTTCAGGAGGTAGGTTAATAATACAAGAAAAAATGTACCATTAGGTTTTAGAAATCCTTTATAAACAATTAAATTTTCACCACCACAATGTTGTTGCGTTATCATCACGTCATCTTTAACTGGTGTGTATAGATCACGATTATGATCCATAATTGTACGTGGGCCATAATAAGTCATTGTTATTTCACATTCACGTTTAGAAGGTGTAGACAAACGAGACAGACTCTATGATAAAACCGAAATATCATGTATCACGTTTAAAATTTGATTTTTTTACGAGAAAAATAATTAAATTCTAAAAAGTTTCAAAAATATTTTATTTATTTCAAAATTCTGATATAAAATAAATAAAATAAATTATGATAAATTGTGCTTTATACTAAAAGTTGCTCTACCAGGTCATTAGCATTTCTGGTTATTCACTTTGTAGGATAATGAATGCTTATTACAGGAATATACGAGGGTAGTTGTAAAAACATATCTGACAGAAATATGGAAAATCATAAAAAGATCCGACCGCAGTTTAAATTAAATATGCACTAAGTCTAGAATTGAATTCTTTTAGATCGTCATTAAGTCAACAAAAAGAATTTGTGGTTAATTTATAATATTCACCCAAACTGACTTCCACAACGCGACTATTTGAATTTTCTGCACTACATGTCCTAATTCAATCATCTTGTTGGTAACAATCTTTTTCCTCCTCTGTAGGATTAACAGTTAAAGAATAACAGCCATCAATTTGTGATGGATTCAGAAAAAAGTTATAGATACTACTACTGGATGTTGGGGTACATAATATTATAGAGAAATAATTATTCATTATTATCATTTGAATTTTTCAAGTAAAATTGAATTTATATGCAAATATTCTACTAATATAAGGTGTCAATAATGTAAAAACAGAGCAGAATTTTTTTCGTTTTCTCTACTATAGTTGGATAAAACACATCGAGTTATACAAAAAAAAGCTCATTTAAGACTTGCCGAAGCGACTTTTGGATAAAATCTTTTCAAAATATTGACTTATTTAAGGCGCGCGTAATTCAAACGTAAGATAAACTTTTTTTCGGATTTTTCATACACCATTCGACAGAGCTTTTCGAGTTGATGAAGAAAATGTGATTTTTAATTTTTCAAAGCAATTTTTACATGTCAGAAAGTTTGAGCCTGAAAAGGAATTTTCGTCTTATTTGTTGATTCGCCTTTTCAAACTATTTTTTTTCTGATTCGGCATCGAAAACAATAGAAAAATCGTATTTGATCGGTTTCGTAGTGGAAGGGTTGTTCAACGTAGATGTCACTAAATGGACCTCTACAATGGGAAGAAGGACTTTCATAATGCTATCTAGTTTTTGTGTCGAGTAGGGAAGCCGTGAGTAACACGTCACTAGACCTTCCAAGATATGATGAGCTTTATCCGAGAGTTCGTTTCGTTGTTAAGAAAAGTCATTTTTGCTAAATCTGGGCGAAAAGTAGAATTCTATTCGTAATTCTTAATTGTCTCCATCAGAACTCAACTTTTACGCAATAAACATATCGTATTCGGAATCAGAATTAAAAACTGCGTCGACTAATGCGTATTTCTATCCTATCTGATTACTTTAGTCTTTTGTCGAATTTCCACGTTGAAAAATTATCGAGATTCTGACCAAAAAGTGAAAATCAAGTAAAAATTCCATAATATCCATTGAACTGAGCGTCCGCTCTCTTAAAAATGAAAGTACTCTACCGAACCTAAAAAACGTGTAAACTTTGTCATCATTTATATACCTTTTTAAGGTTTCGTACAGCTGGTACAGCACCCTATATCCCTCACTGGGAAAAACTTGGCTCGACTGAGGGTACACTGTCCATGCAAGTGACGGATTTAGGATGCAGTGCCAGCTGTACGAAACCTTAAAAAGGTATGTAAATGGTGAGAAAGTTTAAACGTTGTTTAGGTTCGGTAGACTACTTTTATGTTTAAGAGAGTGGTGGATCTAATGATGTGTAAAAATTAAAAACTAAATTTTCTTCAGCAGCTCGAAAAGGTGATGGTGTATGATAAATTCGAAAAAAATCTTAGTTTAACCCTTTCTTGCCCTAAGGCCCCTATAGGGACCATTTTATAAAAATTTAGTTTACTTAAATCAGCGAATGTCTCGCAATACTAAGCGTTCTTTAACTCATAGGTACAATCTATGAAACGTCTCAACCTGTGCCCTACCCCACCCTATAAAGTTTGCACCCTACCCCAATAGGACAGGGTAGGGTCATCCTGTACATCTCTGTTGTCTTCAGAACCGTCAGGTTTAGCCAAAGGCAAGAAAGAGTTAAGTTTGAATTACGCGCACTTTAAAAAGAGCGGAAGGTCAGAGAAAGAGGCAAAACATTCACATTCATTTTTGTTCTATGATTTTGAAACGAATGTTGTCTGATTCGACACGCAAAAGCGGGTATAGAAAACCATGTTTGAGATTTTTCGTAATTAGAAGCGAGTAAGATTTTGAGAAACAGGAGTAGAATCGGTAGATACCCCCTCTGCATCTTGCCAACTTGACCAGTTTTTTTCCTTGGATTATTAATATGAATGTTTCTCCTTATTTGATTGTGTAAAAAGATTTTAACGTGATAATGCAACTCGATGAGCTCTATCCAAGTATACCAGGGACAACGAAAAAAAAGTCGCCCAAGCAGAAAAAAACATCGGGCGATCTAGCTAGGTAACATGATACATTATTCAATATACCGACGATCGGATTACTCACCTTTTTGTTTTGCAATCACTGTACTATATATGTAAAACATATACTTCACAAATTTACAAAGGATTTATTCGTATCAAGTCAATATATTAAGCAATAGTAGACTAACATATTGGGGAATATTGCTTCCTATAAATATGTTACAGAAAGCAAGATGTCTGTATACAGACAGATGAAATATAGTCAGCATCCGTTATGTTGTCAGTACGTGGGTCAATATATCTAACTTCATAGCTTGTGGCGGAGCGGCGTCAGATACTGTCCACAGTATATCGGGCGATAATTGATCAACATATCGACTAAATACCTCTCGGATCAGTGTTTTACGCAAATCCGAAACATCGGGTAAGATATCTAGTCGCTAGCTATCATACCCGATATAGCTAGCTAACTTAATAAAAGTGGTACGGATAGCTAGCTACCACAAGCCGATATTGCCCGATAGCATATTTTTATAGCTACATATTCTCAGAGGCATTTTTTGCTTGGGCAGCTCCTTTTGTTTTATCAGCGTTATATTTGTTATGAACTTCTGTCGAATGTCAACATAGAATACTTTTACTGGCTGTAGTTGCACCTCACACAATATTATTTCGAACTTATATAGGGGAAATGATCCGATTGCTTACTTCTTCAATATCTTTTGGTTGTTGTAATCGACGACTATCTTCGAAATTTTTTGATTTTTGTTGATGTTCTTGCAATTTATAAAAAATAGCTGATTGTGCACGTCTTTTGGAGAAGTTGAATTCTTGACTGGTTAAGAACTATAATAGATAAGGAAACAAAAGGGCTTAAGGTAAAGCCAATTCGTCATACGCCTAAAAGATTACATTGTCGTTGATAACACTATTTGGTCTTGCAGTTGAAAATGTGCTTAGAGAAAAGTCGTTGAATATTGGACGAGATTTCCTTTCTATCTAAAAACAAAGAAAACAAAGAGAGATTACTGGAAATAGTTTAGGTTTTTTCGGCACACTTTAACACTATTAACAAGTGTCAGTTTTCGAATCATTTCAAATTCTCGACGAAGTCTGGCTTGTCGTACTCGTTCCAAGTCGAGTGCTCTTAAATAAAAAAACATAAAAAAATGGAGTCATTAATATGTATTGTATATGTAGAAGTAATTCCCTCACTGTTGGACAATTGTTCGCATAAGTTGTTGTCGAACACGTCCTTGTTGTTCAAGTTTAGCCAGTTTTGATCGATATTCAGTATCCGGTATTATTTCACCAAGTCGATTAATCTACGTGTATTGGCAATATATATTAGTTTAATATTTCACAGTATAGCTAACTGAATATACGTACTAATCCAGAATGTTGCAGATGGTTTCGTACACGATTATTATTGAAGTATCCATAAAGATGAGGATCGGTTAAACTATTGTATGTTCTAAATTAATCACATATACTATAAAAGCAAATAAAACAAACAAGAAACTCATGCCTTGAGTGATCCATGTTGTTGACTGATTGTGCATGAAAGAGGAAAATCTACTATTATTTCTTGATGATACACATTTTCCTAACTTTAAATCTAAAACTGATGACATCATATGACCTTACTCCCACCAAGTAGAACATAATATATTATAGGGTAAAGCAGAATGATGGACGCACACTTTTCTTTTGTAGTATGTTTTTTGGTAAAATATTCAATTAATTTTTCACTTTCTTCGTGTTAACATCACAGATGAACGAATAAATGCTTTTAATAATATAAACAGACAAAGAGAATGAGAGAAAAAGAAGAAAAAGTGTATGAGTACTCTACTTCTGAATTTTACTATATGGATGCTTTTAACTTCTGGTGAAAATGTGCTAAAATAAATAATTTCACTCAAGGTTGAAAATATCGATTTCAGTATATAAAGAACGATCAAGTCTTTGGAACAATATCTTCGAATAATGTAGTGTCGAATCGTAGTCGTTGTTTGAATAGCAGTAGTAAATGATTAGAGTGAGGTATGTATTTTTTTTATCACCAAATTTTATTCTATCGAAATGATTACGAAAAAATAACACTTTTGATCACCAAATTAATAATGCTTGTAATCATAAAATCAACATGAAAAAATTTGTATACAAATTTTATGGCAACCGAGCTGTTCGAACTTTTTTTGGGTGGCCCTTAGTTTGCCTTTTACCTGAAGATTCACAACGAGTCTCGTCACTAGTTGAATACATGTTAAATGTAACAGTCAGACCAACAGAGTGTTTGCACGTATACTGCTTGAGGTCAATTGGACACATAAACGGTGACACTAACAAACATGATGTTGCTATGCCACAAAATCCGAACGATGTCTATTGACTAGATTAAGGGAGACGAGAATAATCTTTACCCAGAACTGCCTTCACATGTATCTCATTCTGTAGAGGACACTGAAGTTTTGTTACCGATTGGTTCATGAATGGCAGAGCTAAAAGGATTTAAAGTTTATTTTAGCGTGAAAAATTGCGTCATCATTAGGGGTGTTAATTTAGTTTTATTTTTCATTTATAATAATGGATAAAACTAAATGAATCATTTATACTTAAAAAATAAATATACATAAATGAAAAAAAAAATTATCTTTATTTTATAAAAGTAAATGATTCCTTTATATTTATTTATTTATTTTTAAAAATAAAGGTACAAATAAATAAATAAATATAAAGGAATCATTTACTTTTATAAAATAAAGATAAATGGATCATCTACTTTTATAAAATAAAGATAAATTTTCTTTTCATTTATTTATATTTATTTTTTAAGTATAAATGATTCATTTACATTTATTTTCCAAAGTAACACTAAATTAACACCCCTGGTCATCATGGCTGTGTTTGATAAGTTTATCTCGGACGCAAAAAGTAATTAGTAGACATCGTTGTTGCGCAGGAGTATACTGTATGATACTGTATGATCTGTTGGAATTCGGTTGAAGAAAAGCTTTGTATGAAATTAGAAAAAACAATGAATTAAAATTAGCTGCTATGATCATATCGGCTAAGCTAATATCCATACACACAACATATGGCAAGCATCAGGACAAATAGAATAAACAGAGCAATTTGGCAAATTTATCAAACTTCTTAATTTTGTTTCTCTTAACGGAGTGCTTGAATGACCTTGCACTGGCGATGACTTAATTTGCGAATGCAATAATTTGACGATACAGGTTTTCGAATTGGGTGATGGTAAGCTTGTTACTGGATTGCGTTCGTCTTCTTTATGTTCATGTACATTCCTTTACATAACCGTGACTGACTGTGCATGGTTATCTGATACGATTATTTGAAGTTCAGAACAACATAAAGGATATTTTCTGCACTCACCGTATTTAAACGAATACTTTGTACGATTCTTCAAATTTAATCGACGGCATTGACATTAATTATGCACCGGCATCGGCATACCGAATACCGACTTCATTGGATGTTTTCATTTAAAGCGAGATATTTTAGCGTCATGGAGAGACAGAACGCATAAAAAACACTCAGCAGTGTACTATGACCATATGCAAACAGGAAAAAAGAAAAATTTTGGCTTTAGCAGGCAAACAAAGCTTGTATTCCTGATTCTTTCTGGGTGTCCAGGACGCTAAGATATCGCATTTTAAATGAAAACCTCCCAAAAGGTCCAGGAAAAAAAAGTCCGTATTTTCGGTGTCCGTATTTCGGTGTGGATGCCGGTGCATACCTAACTGACATATGTTGTAGTGAGATTTGGCTAATTCTTTTGCTTTATCATAAGATTGCACAAAGCGTTCCATTTTTGTTTCAACATTTTTCTGGTGGCGTTGTGTACAGTTTAGAGACATTCCTTATGAAGTTTCTCCGTTGACAAAATAGTTTACATCAGAAGTGCTTCATTCTGTCAGCATTTTGATTCTTAACTAACTTATTTTGGGATTAAACATATTATTCTGTGTAATCATCTTTTATTAATTAAATTGGTGATCAAAAGTGTTATTTTTTGGTGATTATTTCGATACAATAAAATTTGATGATTAAAATACAATTTTCTCATTAGAGTGTACGTGTCATATATTTTATCTTCGTCATTCAGCGCGTGCTCTTTGTCTAATAGTAGGACTTTGTCCAAATAATTACTGCACCCTTAAATTGTTTCATTTCGAAATAACATACTGCAATTACGCCCGCTGCCAGTAAATATTATGAACGTCACGTAGCGCACATCTTCCTAATACATCCAATGGCCTTTTAATAAAATATCAGACACATGCCGAACTTTTGCATTAGACGATAGCAACGGCCAGTTTTATAATTCGCTACATTGTAAATTGGTCATTCTTCAGATGTTTTGATTCAATCCTCAGTGCATGCTCAAAACAATCACCTGTGCATCATAAACACGCAATCACAAACGTATCTCACTTGTGTCATGGTATATAGAGAGACTGCCTTTTGATCTATATTTGATTTCTGCCAGCTTAGCTGTAATAACTGATTGCAATGTCCTATGGCTTCTCTGTACTGGTGTTCTTGTTTCTTTAGCAAAAAATACCTTTTTTCCAAATCTAATCAGTATGGAAGCTGACAGACGCATTATTCTCCCTTTTCGCTGTGGGAAACCACGACACGGAACAGTAGACACGAGCCAATCACACTGATTTCGGCTTTATCGTACGAAGTGCCCCGGAGACGCAAAACTGTATTTTCAGTCAAGGAATGACCAGTTAATGCCATGAATTTGATATGAGGGAAACCACTCAAGGAGAGGGTCGTCTGTTCCGTATTGTAGGAGTGTAGAAGTTTCCTTGCCATACTCACTCTACCAAAGGCTTTGTTATATCAAAGAACCCAACCGGCGTCGACTGTTCGGTTATAACCGTAATCGGTGCATCCTTAGTTCGGATCACGTCTGGTTAGTTATCGAAACTGGATACTCGCCAAAAAACTTTTTGTGATGTTGAATGTTAATTACTACGAAAAGACCTCCTTTTCTTTCAAGCAAGAAACGTATTTGGTTACAAAGAAATAAAAATCAGTACTGAAATATAACTGTTATTGTTTGACTTGCGGCACTACATGTAATGTTGTTTATTCCACCCCAGTTTAAATTAGTAAGGCACGGTCGTGCAATGTAACCGGGACTGGCACATTGACAAGTAGTGCCACTGGCACTCAATTCGTATGCAGTTCCACATGAGCCAACTGCCCATGAACGACTGTTTGATGTGACTGGACCATAAGCGGTTGAAGTTCTTAAAGCTGATGCAATATTCGATATAACAGTTGCATCAGTAACCGTAACTCCAACTAAATCTTGTGTACCACGAATAGTTAACAGAGTATAGGCTCGAGGCGTTAATTGAGCTACAAAAGTTGTCCATGCTGTACATTGACTTGTTGCTGTTGCGCCAGAGGTAAAACATTGAGAATATGTTACGGTATTTGAAGCAGCTGTTTCAATCGAGCAGACTGAAACTAAACAAAGAAAAGGCGCAAATTTGGCTATAGAATCTTAAAATCGAGATAAAGTATTCTTTACGCGTAGTTGTCATCGTTGTACTCGTTATACTCGTTGTACTCGTTGTAGCTAAAATTAAATAAAAATTCAAGTTCTGACAGCGGAAGCTTTTGAGCTAACAAAAAATCGCTTTTTTTGACACAAAATTGTTGTATGTAACTGATTGCGTTCATTCCGAATGCGACAGCCGTTTGCGCTGTTATGTATTTTGTAGAGACACATAGTTTTCTTGTAAGAGTTATTTTTAGTCGGTCAGTAAGGTATGTTACTGACCGACCTGCGGCAAACTACTAGAAGAGAACTCTTAAAAGAATAAATTCTGAATAAATTGAATTCTGACATCCGGACCCAATAGTTTCGTATGGAAATATTAGCTTTGGATAGTGTTTCCTCAGAGAGTTGAAGCTATTTAAAGTTTATCCGCCTTTGAGATCCTTCACATGTAAAATGTTAGAAAAATTTCAAAAAGTAGATCCTTGACTAGGTCCAAAATCGATGAATTGACTAGTTCGTTCGTGTCGAATTTTTTGCGAGATAGAGATCAGTTCTGTAACAGAGTGTACACAGCTGTTAATAGACAGTTTACGGCTCATCAAGTTGCTGCAGGGCGAAAACGTTTATAACTGTCGCGGGTATCCAATGGTAGGATGAGGGTAAGTACTAATTTGGTTCAATGATGTTGTCCAGCGAGGCCGACATCAAAGTGCGAAAAGGCCAAGCCTGGGGAGCCTTCTGGAAAATGAAAGATATCTGGCGCTCAAAGACAATTCCAACTTGTCTCAAGATCAACATCTTCCAAGTCTCGTGTCTTTCAATACTCCTATACGGCTGCGAGAGCTGGATCATCATCCGCAAGCTTGAGAGCAGTTTGAACAGCTTTGCCACCAGCTGCTACAGAGTAATACTCAACATCAAGCGTCTTGACAAGATATCAAATGCAACTGTCTACAAAAAGACCGGACAAGAATCTCTGATGCAAACAGCGCAACGACGCCAATTGCGTCTCATCGGTCATTGCCTTCGAAGAGATGCGAGGGAATTTATCAACATGCACGCTCTCTACTCACCGAAACCAAGTCATGGCAAGCGCAAGCGGGGCAGCTCCCGTCTAATGTACCCCGATTACATTACGAGGCTAATTAACAACGATACACCACCATCGGTCGACGAGATTAGAAAGGCTGCCGCGAATAGAGAAAATTGGTCCAAGACTGTCGTCGCCTGCAAACCTCGATTGTTCGCAGCCGACCGATGATGATGATGAAGTACTAATCGGTGGTGGGGGAGCCACTAGGCGTGGTAAGGCTTGAGCCTCACCAAATTTTGGCGTCGTTGGGCTGAGCCTTACCAAAAATTAGGAAGTAGAAATTGTTTTCCAATGCATTTTTGTATTGGACTTTTTTACTTAGAACGTCGAACTTTGCAAGTAACTTACTTGCAATATTTTTAGTAATAGAAAAACTTGTCCAAGAAGAATAATTAGGAAAAAGTAAAGTTTCATCTGATGTTGTTGTTTAATTGAGTCACATTCATTATAGACCTCAAACAGATAAATAAAATAATTTCAAATGCATTAGTTATACGATACAAAAAGGTTCGAGCTAATTCAAAATTCGAGTTTTTTCTGCTGTTTCATTACATATTTAGATTCGTCTCCTTGAGCGGATTCCGAAAAACAACTTCGGAACTTTCAAAACCTTTTCTTCGAGGAGAAAATCTCAAATTACTGAGGTGTCAAAATCGGGAAAAAAGGACGTCTATAGTAAAAGTTATTTTTCGAAGGCGTATTATACAATGAAGTTCTGAAAGTACTTTTCCTGAATCAGTGT